AAGGAAAGTTCTTTTCGAAATAGAAAGACTTGGACAAGAAGAAAAGTATACGAATATAAATGATAATCGCTGTACAACATCTTTGTTGTCTTAAGACATGTCAACGCAAACATTAGTATAAATGCAATATATCGACCTATATCTATATATATCCATTTCTACAGCCGAATTTTCAATAGAGTTATATCGTCAATGAAGGTATTATTAGTAATAAATATATGGATGCGATAACTACGTCGAAAGAAAACCTATATACGTATATAATAATTATTGACACATAAAATGCAATTCGCCTCGTTTTTGCAGCTGCTACATCCGATAGATTGTTCTGGCATTTCTATTTTTTTTTGTGGCTTGTTCTTAGAAACAAAGAAACAAAAAAGAAAAAGAGAAAATATTGATTTTAAATTTACCCCTTATTTGTTTTTGATCAGAATTGGTAAAAATAAAAGTAATCTTGATCATTGTCAACAAATATGATCATTATCAATTTTCTTGTCACTTGTGATTATCATGTAAATAAAAGAAACAAAGATAAAAATTTCCGGGCTTTTTTTATTTCTTATCTACAAAATAAAATAAGACAATCTATGATTTTTTTTTTTCTTTCTTCTTACTTTAATTTAAAAGAATAATATGTTAATATATTCTTACATATACAAATAAATAATATTTCCGTCAAGATCGAACAATTTTTTTTGCGTCGTTTACAAGTTTTTTTTTTCACATCCTTTTTTTCTCTTCTTTCTATTCAGACAGAAGCATACTTAGACGCATAAGGAATATTACTTAATGACAAATTTTTTTTTATGTTTGCTTGATTGTCCTTGGAAAAGCTGTCGGCTGTCATTGTAATAGACAATTTATAATATCTATATATATATATGAATAAATGAATTCGAGACGACGATTTATTCATTCGAACGTCAAATTAAGTCAACCGGGATAAAACCCATGATTATGAACGAATGACAAAACGAAGAGAGGAAGAGAGAGAGAGAGAAAGAGACACTTATCTAAGAATACTATTGCTTTGAAGAAAGAAAAGAATTAGCTAAAGTGGTATGTCTAATTTTATATCTTTATGTTGTAAAACTAGTTTTGTAACAATTGTTATTATTACCAATGTAGATTTCCAACGGATAAAATTGAATTAACACACAGCATAATACATAGGAGGCGATAGAAGTTGAAGCATTACGACTCGGTGCAAACTTGATGACGCTATAAGAAAGCACAAATCATTTAAACCGACACCCGAGTATCACATTTGCATTCGATTGCTGCCATCGTCTGTCGAGAAGGAAAACTCTTGG